AACTAATATGTTGGCACAGTTTTACTTGTTCAGTAGCCATGTTTTTAAAACGTAGCAAAGCTTCTTCCAACAATTGTAGGAAAGCGTGGCTATATCAATCGTGCGAAGAATATAGCCATGGTAAAACAAAATATGGCTTAAAACATTCTATAAAAACCGTGCCTCTTGTTTAGTTATTAGATTGTCAGAGTTCTGTAGGCTCAAAGCCACATGGTGTAAAAAATGTGGCTATTGGGTTATATTTAAAAAAATTTGATAAATTTTTTTAGTAATTTAAATATTTAAAAAGCTTTTCAATAATTTAAAAGCTAAATATTACTATATTAAAGCCACGTTTAAAAAAAACATACTACTGGCTTATTTTAATAAAAAATTTTGGAAATTTAAATATTTCATAAAGTTTTTGAGTTATTTAAATATTACAAATTTCAAAAATTTAAATAGAGTGATGACACTCGGCTTTGAAGCTCGTCAAGATCACCCCATTCACAACCTTTTCACACAATTTTTTAAAAATAAAACACAAATCAATAAGCACAATTGATACTTCTTTTTGAAGAGTATTTTTAATTGCTAATGGAAGCAATTACTGCATCAAAACATAAGAATCATGACTTTGTAGCCCCCAATCTTCTATTGTCTCAAATTAATGCATCTAGAAATGTTACTTGAATATCCATTTGGTATATTGATATTTTTTAATGTTTTAAGAAAAACATCTTTATTAGACTTGCTCAATGTAAACTTGATTGGATGAAATTTACCATTATCATCTAGCTGCAATTTTGGTTGAATGCCCATTTCTTTCAAATCTTTTCATGATTGTAAATGATCTTTTGATTTATCAGATTCATTCAATGATATAAAAAGGACATTATCACAAACATTCTTTTCAATATGCATCACATCTAGACAATAGCGAAGCATGTTATTTGATCAATAAGGTAAATTAAAAAATATACTTCTCTTACGCCACTGTTGAGAATCCTTACCACTTGAATTTTGAGCCCCTTTTTAAGATCTTTCACCATTGCCCATGCTAAAAATCATATTAGCAATTCAACTTGGCTCAAAATTCCTCACCATGACCGAACCTCAAGTGGCATTTTCAACTTTGATTTTCCATAAAATCAAGCATGAGCTAACCTAAATCTGTGTGTACCATCTAAAAAGTGTCGATGACTTATAAACACCATTTTTGAATATTAGATAGTCAAAATGACGAGCAATCAAAATTACAAGTCAGACATGCTAATCTTGTATGAACATTCCATCCAAACAATGTCCCAAAGCCAGGAAAATCACTAATTGTCACAAGTAGTGCTACACACATTCTAACATTTTATTGGAATAAGAATCATATGTTTCCACTCTAACATTCCACAAATCTAAAAGTTCTTGAATTAAGGGCTGCAAATACACATTAATGTCATTTTGTAGAGCTTTTTGTTTGGGAGTTATCATTGAAAGTATGAATGAATCCTGTTTCATACACATCCATGTGGGGAGATTATAAAGCATAAGAGCCACTAGCCAAATACTATAAGTACTACTCAAAGTTTTAAAAGGATTGAAACCATCAGTAGCTAATGCCAATTGCACGTTTTAGGTTCTAAAGCAAAATTTGGATAAGTCATATCAAAAATTTTCCATGCTTTAGAATCCCTTAGATGTCTCATCAAACCATCAACATTATTTTCATTAGCACGCCACCTCATATGCTTTGTAGTTTTAGATGACACAAACAGTCATTGCAATCGTGGCTTTAATGGAAGTATCTCAAAATTTTTGTAGGTTTTTTCACTTGTTTTTTACTTTTTGGATATCAATTTTCATCTTGATGTATTATGTGTTTTGCAAGTTTTCCCCAATATAACATACAATCATTTGGGCAAACATCAATTTTTTTATATTCCAATCCTAACTTGATAATAGTCCTTTTTTCTTCATAAAATGAAGAAAAAATTTTAGCAAATGGAAAGGCATATGCTAATAATTCTAGAATCATAGATAAAGCTTTGTTTTACACCACACAAGCATTTAATATGGTACAATCTAATTAAAAATAATAATTTTGAATTTTTCTCACACCCATCATATAATTGATCTTGTCCATCTTGCACCAATTTAAAAAATTCTTTGATCTCTTCATTCATCCTTTGATTTTAATTTTGTGATGAATCCTCAACTTGATTTGAAGTTTCATTTTCTTCTTGTGTAACATCCCAATTTAAATTTTAATAGTTAATTTGGATTAATAGAAATTTTGAAAAATATTTAGAGGTAAGCAAATTAGTAGAAAATAATTATTAAATCTAACTTAGGATATAATTCTAAATTAAATTTTTTTAAAAAAATTATTAATTAATTAATTAAAAAATATTATTAAATTATTATTATTATTATTATTAAAAAAAAGAGAAAGAAGAAAAGGTAAGGAAAAAAAAGAAGAAGAAGAAGAAGAAGAAGAGAAGCACTTTCGGCGTCCCCCGCGTGCTGCAATCATTACGTATATATAATAATAATAAAAAAAAGGGAGAGAGAGGAAAGAAGAAATAAAAAAAAATGAGACCCACTGAATTTTTATAAAAACTCACCTGTTTCCTTCGTTTCTTCATTCATTCCTTCGTGCGTGAGCTGAGGCAGAGTGAGCGTGAGTCGCCGGTGCGGAAGATCTGAGTTTTCAAGGTAAGAGTCTTTAATAGGATATTTAGGGTGTGATTTTAAGCTTTTCAAGATTAAGTAAGTATTCTGAAAATTTTTCTTAATCATCCTTCTTCTTTGGTTTCTGAGTTTGTAGTAGTAGAAAATTTAAGATCTGGAAGAGGGATGAATTTATGTTGAATAAATATAGTTTTTGATGTTATTAGTAGTATAATAAATGTTCTAGAGTATAATTTATTGATAATCTTTAAATTTGTGGCTTATAGGATCAAATTCTAAACTAGATCTGAAAATATATATTGATTTATTGAGGTTTAGGTTATTATTTAGGATGAGAAATGAATTATTATGGCTATAGGATTATGATTCTAAGCTAGAGATTTAATTTTTAATTTTTGGATATTTTAGGTGTGAATTTATAAAATAAAAAGAAAATTTTGATAATAGAAATTAGTTTAGATGTTGATTTTTTAGATTATTAATATTTATTGATAATTAAAAGAGAATTTAAAAATTTTACTTAATAGTATTAACTCTAGATTTGTATTAAGATTAAGATGAGAAATTATATTACATTTTTAATTCTATTATTAGAATTATTTTATTAGTTTCAAAAATTAAAACTAATATTTATAAATAATATGTTATTTGTAGATTGTATTATTGGTAAAGATTGTGGTGGGAGAGAAATTGTAAGGAATAATTTATTGAAAAAGCCACAAGGTAACCATGCTTTTAATTTGTGATTAGTGTTATTTCATGTTAATTGGGTGATTATTGAGAAAATTATGAATTTTGTAATATTGTATAATTGTGCAATATTATTATGAATTTGTTTGATTATTGTGGGAGGTGTTGGGAGACTTGCTTTTATTATTGTATTTATGTGCCATGTGGTACGCCCCTATTGGAGCTCAATAGGTGGCTTGTAAGGGCTTGGGCTAATCTATATTTGGTTGAGTAATTTAGCACCGAGTGAGGGCTACGGCTCGAGGTTAATGGAGGGATATAAGGATGGTTATTTGTGTGTATTATAATATTTCTTATATTTTGTTGGAATTATATTATTTTTAATTTTCACTTAGTAAGCACACACTTAACTGTTTGTATATACTATCATAAATTGGCTATGGTTACTGAGACTTTTGAGTCTCATTATGTGGTTAACAATTTTCAGGAAAAGAGCCACGAGTGACACGTGGAGGAGTCCCAGAGGCTTAGTGGCATAGATCCACTGTCTCTTTTAGGTATTTGATTTATGATTTATAATGTTTTATATTGCCAATATTAGGGCTTTTTATTTATTGTCAATTATATAAATATATAAATGTAATCATGTCTTTCAAACTATTTCTATTTTTGGTACAATTTGGATGACTGTAATTTTAATATTTGGTTTACTTTGGATTGATTAAAATGGCATGATTATAAGGCCAAATAACTGGCTTGTGTTGAAAATTGACTAAATTACTTATTTTACTTGTTGGGAGTATAAGGATGGACAAATGTGATTTAGCCTAATGGCATGTGGGAGGTAAAAATTTATCTGAAATGTTATATTGTGTGAGTTGAAGCTAATTATAAAATATTTTATATTAAAATTATTGATATAAAAATGTGTGGGTGGCTGTAACCCAACTATGGTTGAGTTAAATTATTAAAAAAAAAATTGGTGTGTTACATCTTGCACACCAAAAGTATCACAAATTAATTTATGAATATAATCACTAGTCTCATTGCCTTGTTCTCTATTTCCTACGTTAACTGGGCCATGGGAAGAAGCTACTTTGAATTTGCGTTTTTTACCAAGAAAAACCCAACATGTATATCTAGAGGGAATCATTTAGCAATTAAATGGTTCTGCACCTCTTCCCGAACATTCCATTTTCTAAAATTACACTTAGGGTAAGGACAAATTATTTTACCCTCAATGCCACTGTTTGCAAAAACAAAATTTAACAATCTTTCCAAACCATTCATATATTCTCTTGTGTTGTGAAGTTTAGATATCCAAAGTTTATCCGTTTTTTATATAAAATAAAAAAATATCTATAATTTATTATATTTAAGCATAAAATTTCAACATATTTTTTATTATTTGAATAAATATAAACAATGAAAATAAAAATCCTAACATGCACAACATAAATTTAATCACAACAAATAAATTTAATTTTAACATTAATGTAACATTTAAATTATCCTATATAAAAAATAAAAATTTATAATAAAAAATTTAAACCTAATAAAATACAACAACATAAATTCATGTCATATTTCATCCTAAAAAATTAAATATCTAATTTTATCTTATCCTATTCATAGATATTCAATGTACATTAAAAACAAACTAATAATTATCATACATAAAATTTTATATAATTAAAAAACGAAATATAACATAAAATAAAAAATGAATTACCTCAAATGTGTAGTGAAATGTCAAATTTATAATGACTTTGAGAATTTTTTTAACTCCTGAAAATATATAATAAAATGTATAAAATATAAAAACACATATAAAATAAATGGAAAAAAAGAGAGGAAAAGACATGAAGCATGCATACCTCGAGATGCTGAATATACTGCATGAAGTTGAAAATAGCATGGGTGGGTATAAATAAGAAGAAACCGAGCTCGTTGAGCTATGGTTTTGTAAAAACCATGGCTTGGTTTCTAATTTTTTGTCAGACAAGCCACGGTTTCTCAGATGAGAAACCATGGCTCGTTGAACCACGGTTTTCACAGAAAACGTGGCTCAATAATCCATGATTTTTCAAAAACCATGGATTTAGTTCTTCTTCTTGTTTTTTTTTTGAAAAAAAATTAATAATGGCAGTTTTTTTTGTAAAAACGCAGGATTATCCAACGGTTTAAGAAAAAACGTAGCAATTATTTGTGGCTATAGCAACATTTTTTTTAGTGTGTTTAGTTGCTTTAAAAAGCTTATTTAGGAACAAAATTAATTGATTATACATTTGTTATGCATAGTTTGAACTATACAAGTTGACCTTCCAAAGATTATTTACTAGTGAAAATACTTGTATGTTATAATTGTTTATTAGTGACTTTTACTGTTTCTCCCACAAAATATATGACAAGTGGATAATGTCTTCATATCCAAAAGAGATGTATATGGAAGATGTTTCAAAATATTACATGAAACCAATGGTTCATATATATAGTCTAGTTGTAAGAAAATATCAGCTTGCACAGGCATCGACAACAAATAATATTTAAGAAATTGACACACAAGTTAAGATACAATGACTCAAGAAAATTCAAAAACAATGAGTGATATCATCATCAGGGGAATATAAAACTTATGCTATATTATTTTTTCCTTAAGCAAAGTTTTATCCCAGTGGGCTTTTCTGGTAAGGTTTTTAATGATGCAACTTCAATAAATATGACAATATTATGTACTTATTTTCCTTCACTAAGTTTTTGTTCCATTAAGTTTTTCCGAGTAAGGTTTTAATAAGGCTAATATCTAGACATCCTAGAAGGAGTGTTATGAAAATTAATATATGATGTGGATGTTCATTATCTTATATTCTCCAATATCATTCAGTTATTATAATATTTGTAGTTATTATTATTTTGTATATTTTATTTTCTTTAATTAATATATTTGTGCCTATAAATAGAAGGCACCTTAGTTGTATTTTATACATCAAAATAAGAAAAGTCTCAATTCTCTCATTATCTTATTTTTTTATTGTCTCAGTATAATTTTCTCTCTTCTCTCCTCCTTTGAATATCTATTTTCATAACACTATCAATGTTTTCAATCAAGAGTCTAAGACTTTTATATTTTTGTAATTGTGTAAATTAATATTTTTTTAACTCGATGTTTTTTGATATTGAATTAAATTTTTGGTATCTAACTTCGTTCATTCTGGAAATTATCTTCATGATTGATCACGCATCATATGCGATCAATTGGTACACAATAAATAAAGTAGGAAATTCGTTTCAACCGTTAGAACTTTACAAGTGTAGGTTTAACATTTTTAAAAATATTATAACACTAGATTATAAATAATTAAACACGAATAATAGAATTGCCATAACTTAGCTGTTAAATCATGAAAATGAAATAGGCACATGCTTATATATGTAATGTAGATGATTAATATTAAAAAAAAAGAAGTAATCCAATAATCAAACCAAAAGTAGAGAAATCAAAATCAAACGAGCTAAACCAAACAATTAAGGAAATATATTTATTAGCACTTAGCATTCCACGATATAATTAAGCATCAAACATATTAATTTAATAGAAACAAAAGCAACCACAATCAAACCAAGACAAGAGAAATCATTTATTAGCCTCAAACAAACATTAGGCATAACACTTAAATAGCACGATCCTAATTATTAAAAGTCTTTAAAAAAAGTACGGACGGTGTTGGTAGTACTGAAGATGAAGACAGCGAGTCCCATTATAGTCGAACTTGTTCTCCAAAGATCACGAAAATAAGTTAACCTGAAGTGAGTCCACCCACTGTCGTAATGTCTTCTGACTTGTTCAATGATGTTGTTGTAAGTGCTTGACTTTGCCAAGAATCCTTTTGTTAGCTTCTTGATTAAAGTGACCACTTCCTCATTAGTATCCAGTCCATGGAAGCAAGCACAGCCACATCTTCTGGAGTGTCAATGAGATCTCTAAGCAAACGAATATAGGCGCTGAAGTGATGCTGATTCCGATTACAATGATACTTTTCGAAAGAAATGATGTTTTGGATAATATATTACTTCAGTTGGGTCGTCCATGATTAGTCTTGGGAATCCCAAACATGGTCGACCACAGAGGACATTCCGAGAGATGAATCTGATGTCAATCAAGCTTGTGCCATGAACTGGTTTAAAGTTAATTACCCATGCCTCCTTCAATTTCGCTGCTCTCTTTAAACCACGGATTTGGGTTGAACGGGATTCAGTCTCTTCACCCCTGGTGTTGTTTGAACCATATTCATATGGAGTATCATCAAAATAATATGGAAGGCAAAGACATCTAATAAGATCTGTGAAATGTAAGAAGGAATGTCTTTTTAGATGCTGGGTTACTTTGGCTGAACATATTGGCAAATAGCTAAAGTAGTCGAGGCAGAGGTCCAGAAATAATCTTGGATACTTTTGATCTTTGGGTTTGGGTGTATCAACTTGACTGATGAATATTTCATATAGCTTCTCTAAGACGAAAAATGGAAGCTGATTTTCAACAAGTAACAAGTCTTCATGTGGATGATCTGGGAAAATGAAGGTGTATTTAATGGATAATCATCTCTGGGACTTGGTGATGAGTTCCTCAGAAAGTGCTCCAAAATAAAGATAGCATCCTCCATGATGATTTCAGAAAAAACTTGCTCTGTCAATGGATAACTTAAATCTGGATACTGAGAAACAATTGTCACAGAATTACTCTCAATGAAAGCTTCAAAGTTGCGGCGTAGTGCACCCGAGTTCTGCATACGACTGAAGAAGTATTTATTGTAATGAAGTTTATGTATCCTCATGTTTTCCCTACCAGCCAACTTATTAGGACTAATGGAAAAAAGAAGGATCATAGGCGTTTAAATTCGGACCCCGGAAAATCCCAGGAACATTGCCAAAATGCTCTATCAACTTCAAATCTCACTAAAAAAAAATTGACTATGTCGCCGCTGAAAGTCAAAAAGTCGCCGTTGAAAGTTTTCAGCGGCGACAAAAGGTCTCCACAATGTCGCCGCGAGAGCTTCTGTTGCTGATTCAATTTGTGGTGACAAAAAAAGTCGCCGCTGAAAGTTGAGAATTTGTGGCGACATTTGTCGCTGCCAAAAGTCTAAAAGTTGCCCCTCAAAGTTTTCAGTGGCGACAAAAAGACGCCACAGTGTCACCGCGAGAGCTCTTGTCGCTGATTCAATCTGTGGCGATAATAAAAGTCGCCATTGAAAGTTGAGAATCAACAGCAACAATTATCGCCGTAGAAACCACGCATCAACGACGACTATTTTTGTCGTCGCTGAATGTTAAGTATCAGTGGCGACAGTTGTTGCCGCTGAAGCTACCAAAAAGTTGTCGTTAAAAATTAATGTTGGTTCACTTACACACATGGCACCACATCACCGTTCACGTGGCGCCCCACCTCACGCCACGTGGTGCCATGTCACCCTCCACGTAAGGCCCCACCTCGCACCATGTGTTGCCATGTCATCCTCCACGTGTCATCCTCACCTCACGCCACATGGCACCATGTCACTCTCATGTGTCGCTCTCACCACACGCAACGTGACTCCATGTCACCCTCCACATAGGCCCCACCTCGCACCATGTGACGCCATGTCATCCTCCATGTGTCGCCCCTCACCTCACGCCATGTGGCCCTATGTCACTCTCCATGTGTCGCTCTCACCATACGCCACGTGTCATCATGTCATCAATTTATATTTTCATTTTAAAAGTTGTCTCCTCCAAAGTTTGAAACTGTGACCTCTTCCTTTTGTGTCTAACCATTTTGCCACTAAGCTGGAATGAACCTATAATCTATTATTGCATAATTAAATACACACACACACACACACACACAGATTATTAAACTATACAAACACACACATATATTAAATATTAAATATTATAAAATATCATTACTATCCTTAAATACTTCAATTTAATTCTTTCAATTTATAAAATTATAAATTATATTATTTATTTTGTTTAAAGTAAACTATAAATATAATTAATACAATATAATTTGTATTTTTTATTTTAATTTTTTTACTTCTTGAGGTTGTTATATTATTTATTTTAATATTCATATTTATAATTATAATATAAAAATATCTAAGAATAAATAATAAAAATAATAATGATTATACATTAGTAAAAAAATTATAAAAATGTAGACAATTAGTGGCAACACTAAAAAGTTACCGTTGAAAGTCGACTTTCAACGGCGACTTGTATGTCACCGCTGAAACTTACAACATAATTTTTTTAAAAGAAATTAAAAAATACTAATAATCAGCGGCGACATTAAAAAGTCACGGCTGAAAGTTAACTTTTAGCGATGACTTGTACGTCACTGTTGAAACTTGCAATATAATTTTTCTAAAAGAAATAAAAAAATGTTGACAATCAGTGGCGACACTAAAAAGTCGCCACTGAAAGTCAACTTTCAGCAACGACTTGTGTGTCGCCGCTGAAACTTACAACATAATTTTTTTTAAAAAAATAAAAGTGCTAACAATTAGCGGTGACACTAAAAAGTCACTGTGACAACTTTTTAGTGTCGCCGTTGAAACTTGCAACATAATTTTTTAAAAAATTATAAAAATGGTCAAATTTTTCACATTTATAACAAACTATTTATATTTTATATTTTTTAAAATTATCTTTTCTAAAGGTTTTATAATATTAATTATTTGTCCACATGTTAAAACTGTAAAATTTATTGTTCTTCGTTATAACTAGTAAAAAAAAAACAGAAGAAAATATAGAAAATGAAATAGATAACACCCCTTTTGAAATAAATCAACAAAGATACATGAACATAATATCACATATAACTTATAAAAAAATGATATTACTAAGTAAGTTTAGTAACAAACAGAGAATATTTAAGAAATATAATATTCAAAAATCCTGTGAAAAAATAGGGAAGTT